AGTGGCCAATTCTGAAGGGTCTGGGCGGTACAGAGTAGGATAGTGTCCAAGAACGATGAAGGTTCCCGACCATAAAGAAGGAAGAATGGGGAGAATCCAGTTGTCGATTGAATTGCGCTATTGTAAGCGTAAGTAATGAATGGCAGTATGCGGTCCCAGTTCGTATGGTCATCAGAAACATACATAGAGAGCATGTCACCCAGCGTGCGATTAAATCGCTCGGTCATCCCGTCGGTTTGGGGGTGGTATGCGGTTGTTGTTCGGTGCACGATGTTACATTCGCGTAGGAGGGCTTCTACAGCTTCCGACAAGAAAGAACGCCCACGGTTACTGAGAAGCTCGCGGGGTGCACCATGCCGAAGGACGAGGTTGTGCAGAATGAACAGGCCGACTTCACGTGCAGTGGCCTCGGGAAGCGCCAAAGTTTCGGCGTTGCGTGTAAGTTGGTCCACGGCGACGATGACCCAGCGGTTTCCATTTGGTGTGTATGATAGGGGACCGTACAAGTCGATTCCCATGCGGCTGAAAGGCCGAGAAGGACAAGGCAGTGACATGGAGTGGCCCTGTAGATGTGCGAGAGGAGCTCTTCCGGCGTTGGCACAAGGAACATGAACGGACGTACTGCCTAACAAAGCAGTACATTCCGCGCCAGTAATATCGAATTCGTACCCAAGCATACGTCTTCACTACACCTGCGTGGGCGCATCGCGGATTCGCGTGGAAGGAGGCACAGACGTCAGAACGTAGGTGGCGAGGTATTATCAGCAACCATTTGCGGCCATCAGATAGGTAGTTTCCCCGGTACAGAAGACCGTCACGGATGGTAAAATGACGAGCAGTTCGTCGAAGTAACGGTTGTCGGTACATGGAGACGTCTGAGACAGGTACTCTAAGAGAGACGCTATCCATGGATCCTGGTGTTGCTCAGCGGACATGTCGGCCTGTTCAAGTGAAGAACATTCGCAGCTGGAAACAGACGCTGCAACATAATCGTGGGGAAGTGGCGAGCGAGAAAGAGCGTCGGTGTCCGAATGCTTGCGGCCTGACCGATAAATAACACGAATATCGTAATCTTGGAGATGTAGTGCCCAGCGAGCTAGGCGACCAGATGGGTCTTTTAATGACGACAACCAACACAGTGGGTGGTGATCAGTCATGACGTCAAATGGGCGGCCATATACGTAAGGTCGGAATTTTGTGATTGCCCAAACAATGGCAAGGCATTCTTTCTCGGTGACTGAATAGTTCTTTTCCGCTTTAGTGAGGGTGCGACTAGCGTAGCACACAACATACTCATTGAAGCCAGATTTACGCTGAGCAAGAATAGCGCCGAGGCCAACTCCACTAGCGCCCGTATGGATTTCGGTTGGAGCGTCTGGATCACAGTGGTGTAGGATAGGTGGTGATGTCAGAAGATGGCGTAAAGACGTGAATGCTTCGTCGCATGCTGGGGACCACGACGAGGTCTTGGTTGTCAGCAAGTAGCTGCGTCAGGGGTGCGATTATGGTGGCAAAATTGCGCACAGAACGGCGAAAATATGAGCAGAGCCTGATGAAGCTGCGGAGCTCTTTTAGTGTAGCCGGCCTGAGAAAGTCGGCGACAGCGCGAAGCTTGGCTGGATCAGAACGGACACCATGCTTGCTAACAGCATTCCCTAAGATGGTAAGCTGGCGGGCAGCGAAGTGGCATTTCTTCAAATTCAGCTGCAGTCCAGCGTTCAAAAGACAAGTCAGGACGCTTGCTAGACGGCTGAGGTGGGAGTTGAAGTCCTTCAAAAAAACAACGACGTCATCCAAATAGCACAGGCATGTGTTCCATTTAAAGCCTCTAAGGATGTTGTCCATGAGACGCTCGAAGGTGGCAGGCGCATTACAGAGGCCGAATGGCATGATGTTAAACTCGTACAATCCGTCAGGCGTTACAAACGCAGTCTTGGAGCGGTCGGCTTCATTCATAGGGACCTGCCAGTAGCCGGATCGAAGATCTAAAGAAGAAAAGAACTCTGCTCCTTGCGGGCAATCGAGGACGTGATCGATTCTGGCCAGCGAATAAACAGCGGATAAACTGCGATGGTCAGTTTTCCGTTTGGGCGGGTGGTGATCGAGGAAGCATCGGAGAAATAGAGCGGCGCCGTGGTGAGGGCGACCGATTCCTGTCGAAGCCGCGGCGACGTGGCGGCGACTGATACGACGTGGGGTGGAACGAAGACGGCTGTGGTGGCTCTGGACGGTAGGAGTCGTAAGTCGCCTCACCAGCAGTTGGGTTGTAATCCCGATGATGGCAGTAGCGTGCTACATGACCAGGAAGCTGGCAGAAATAGCAAATTGGCCTATTGTCTGGAGTGTGCCAAGGGTTTGTTGATGGTGGTGTGGGGTGGCGAACAGGAGGTGGGTGGCGACAAGTAGGAGGACTTGCTGCGTTGAGGGGACGGGGCTGTCTAGCAAGATCCATGACAGTTGGTAGCGACGGCGGCGATCGTCTGGCGGCCTCAGCGTAAGTGAGAGGGGCGGAGATAGGCGGAGGATTGTATGTGGGAGACAGGGCGTCAGAAACTTGCTTTTCGATTGCCTTGCGGAGCGCTGGGGTCAGCATGTGCTCACTGGTTGGGACGTACGGCACAAGAGACAATTGGCGCGAAACTTCTTCTCGGACAAACTCCTGGATTTGCTGCATTAACGTGGTTTGTTCGGAAGAAACGGTGCCAATGGTTAATCCAGATGTAGAGGTCGTGTCGAGGTTTGGACGACGAGTAGAAATCCGCTCTCTCCGCGCTCGTTGAAACACTGACAGCGCTGAATAAGCTGGGCGACGGTTTGCGGGTTTTTCGCAACGAGCATGTGAAAGGCATCGTCCTCGATACCTTTGATGATGTTCCGTATTTTGTCAGTGTCAGACATTTCTGAATCGATACGACGGCAGGAACCAAAACATCCTCAATATACGAGGTAAAGGTCTCGCCTGAGCGCTGTGAGCGGCAGCGCAGGCGCTGTTCGGCGCGTAGCTTGCGAACAGCTGGTCGGCCAAAGACTTCTGCGAAGCGCGTCTTGAAGGTAGGCCAAGAGGGTATTTCTGCTTTGTAGTTGTTAAACCACAGTTCTGCCACACCCGGGAGATAGAAATTGAGGTAAGCGAGCTTGTCTGTGTCATCCCACTTATTGTGGGCACTTACCGCTTCATACTGCGACAGCCAGTCTTCGGCGTCTTGGTCGTCGGTCGCGTTAAAATTCACTGGATCTCGCTGTCGTGGCATTCCGGAACAGGTGACAGATGTGATTATCACTGCAGGGAGCTGGGTCATGTTGTCAGGCATTGACGAGGCGAGGGGCTGAAATAGAGTCCGGGAACGGAGTTCCAGCTTGAGACAACCAGCACTCTCCACCAAATGCAAGAATACTGCTAGACGCACGCCGGGGTAGAGCAACCGTTTATTGGGCCTAACAGCACCGAGACAGCAACCAGCGGTTTCAGCAGCAGCTGCAGCAGCACGAGCCTCCGCCACAACAAACGTCTTCTTCATCGTTCTTAGCGCCCGTATTCGTCACTACAATATATATATATTTCTGATGACGAGTCAGGTAGGCTTGCCCCCAACTCGCGAAAGAGTTGGTACACCACTGGCATCATGGTAAGTTACTGACATACAGGAGCAGAGTACCAAGTTCAATGTTACCTTCATGTATTATGGTACATGAACATGGTCCCTTGCTGAGAGCAGCAGTGTTGCAAGCTGTGCCAAAATTAAATTCTTTCCACAGAAATTGATCATGTGCTGCTGCATAGAGTGAAAAGGGGCTACGTCCTGCTCTTGTGCCAGGACTGCACTAAGTCTCACATGGGTAGCTTAGTAAATATAAACTGAATCGTATTGCAGTGATAGTTGGGTGAGTTAGTAAGGACGTGTAGTTATAAAATGGCGCAACAGAAAAGCACAATAATAATAAAGAAGACCTGACACTGACACTTATCTTTGTGTCTTTTTGTCGTCAGTGTTGCATGTTTTTTCGTTGCACCTGTTTCACGATGAAGATGTATATTGGTTCCAAGGTATACAATTTGGGACGTTGCCCAAGAAGCCAAGCCATTTAAAATTTTTGAGCCCCTCTAGAGCTGTGGTCGCAAGTGTGCTATGTGGCCCAGAAGTTCTGCTGGGCTCAGCTGGTGGTTAATTCACAGAGTTCTAGTTGTACAAAACACAGTTGAGCACAAATTCATTCATTTGTGTGGGCCTGCATATGCTTGACCTTCAATCGTGCTGGTCTTTTTTGAAAGCTTGAAAGCAAGTTATATGTGTTATATTATGCGAACTAATAATTTTCATTTGTGCTAGCGTTGGTATAAATGTTTGGAATTAGCTGCGATGAAATTTGCATGCATTTTAATAATGGCTGCGTGAGAAAGCCTGATTACTGATATTTTTTCCTGCTCGAACACAAGCAGTTTAACAAGCTAACGTTGCAAATTAAAAAAAAAAAGTAAAAAACGACTAAACAATTCTACAGACAAGAATGGGCACATTCGACTACGAACATTTTAACTCTTTCAGATTTCCTGCCTATGGCTACAGTTGCCCTTGCTTTTGGCAACATCGCCTGATACAACCTGGCAACTCTGGAGCTTCTAAAATTTTGATCTTAATTTTTATTTGTCCGTATGCACGTGGGTGTGAGACAAGACGTGCGTCGGCTTCGTTTCTTCGTTCCCGGGGGATGCAGTAAGTTCGGCGCGTTGGAAGTTCTTTCGGCACCGGCCGTCCCTGTTTGCTTTGGAATAGCTGTGCTCCTCACCATGTCATCATCAGGCAGGTGCACTTAGAACAAATGTTCGACGATTCAAAGGACTACGTAATATTCACTGCACGCACCCTTCCACGCGCACACCGTAAAGTGTGTTTCGAGATGCGAGAGCTACACACATCTACGGCGGAAGCAGTTGACATTCCACAGGTGGGTACCACGTTGGATTACTTCGTTGCATTGTCCTGGACACAACGTATTCTTGACTTGCGGCGCAAGAGGATCTCGGCTGTCGATCGCGGCCCGTTGTGGGCACCGTCAAGTACAGCATTGTGTGTAGCAAACACTTCCGTGCGCGCGACTTCATGACTGGGATACAAGTGGTCAGTTGGGTGAAACCCAAGGCCGTTTTGTCACTTGCTTCTGAGGTCAGTGCTTTCACGCGTTGTCTGTTTGCTTCAGTCCACTGTTTTCATTTTGTTCGACACCGGCGTCGTGTCTACTTCGTCAGTGTTTGAAGATGCGGTTGGAAAATTCGGTGTTTTACGGGGGTATGCTCAAATATTGTATGTTCTTCCGCTGTTCTGCGAACTTCAGTACAGAGAATTAACCTTAAAGCGTTCTTTATGTCAAGCCTGACTGCGGCAGTTTTTTTGTTCTTTTAGTGCAGTTTTGTGCAGATTGCTTGTCATGATTGTTGTGCCGTACAAATTATGAACCGCTTTCGCGGCGAAAAAGGCTGCGTCGTGCGTGCTTCAATCTAAAGCGGCACATTTACAGACATTACCAAACTAGCACCGACTGCATTATTCCCAATATGTTTTGTTCGAAATTTGCAGATAGCTGTCGAGGAAAGAGTGGTCGAAACTTACAGTTTGAACGCGGCTCAACCTGACAAAGATGCTGTGTTTCAATTTTTTTTTTCCGTGCGCATTTCATCTGATGCGTGTGACCACAATTTTTGCTACCAGTCATTACAATTGTTCGAAGTGGTTATAACATTGTCTCTTAAGTAGTTACACGTATCAGCTGTTTCAAGGTTAACGGGCTACCTCTGTGATGGGTTGGTTTGTAGAAATAGTGTATGGAGGGGAAAAATACTTGCTTGCGGAGTCCATCACACCCACCCATGCTTGTTTTCTTTCGTAAATGTTGGTTTTATTTCTTGAGCCTAGTGGTTTGTTTGTGCAAACTTCAAATACCAAAAATTCAGGGTATGGGGGTTGCCAGAGGTATCTGGGGTTCCACGCCGATAATTTGAGGGGCTCCAGCCCACCTGGTGACCGAGTAATACACGCAGAGATATGTACTCCCCCTCACGAATATTTATAAGCAGCCCACTTGGGTTAGGTAGCCCCTCTTGACCTATTTTGAATGTTAAGTACCATATAAATCGAAAATTCTTCGATAATCACTGTTATTTCTTTGCCAAAACTTGTCACAATAGGCCAAAGTAAATAACGTGTACTGATATGCATGTGTGTGTGAACGGGATATATACGGTGCCAAACATAGTGCCAAATGATGTAAGAAGGATACCCAAAAAAAAAAACATAAGACACTCGAACCCTAGGGACTATAGTTGTGTACAACTTCAGAAGTCTGCGGCATTTCATTCTCGAGGGCAGCTGCATGCAAGCCGGCAGCCTCGTACATGCACTTTAACGTCATGAGCCAGTTGACCGGTGGCCCTGCCTTTGTGGAACATTGCGGAGTACATAAGCAGCACTATATTTTTTTAGTCACGGAGGTGATCGGCTCCCACGCTTCGGTAGTCTGTGCGTGGCCTCGCTGGACTTCTCAAGTTGTATTTGACTATAGACAGCATCCTAAACTTTCCTTGCATGTTGTGAGAGTAAGAAAGGGAATACAATGCCATGCCTGCTTCTTTCCCTGACAAATGCTGAAATTCACGATTTAGCACGTTGACAAAAGATATCGCTCCACATGCCCTTTCCATCAGGGCCTCTTGAGAAGGTAGGATAAGCATTTATTTTGACAGTGGTTGTGCTCGTTTTGGACAGCCACCTCAAGTCAGGAGAGCTCAGTCGTTAGCTGTCTCGTTGGGCTTGCTAAATGAGGTTTGATAGCGGGACGTCTGAAAGTAATCAGGATGTTGATAATTGCCGCAGGCAAAGTCTTGGCACGCTAGTACAGGCCGAGCCCCATGCATTGGCCAATATGCCAGATCTTGTCAGTGTTGGCGATGTCGCCAATGGGTCAGGCGTACTTAGGGGAGTGCCATGTACCAGTGGTTTGTATGGGCAGTGCCAGTAGAAGTTGTAGATGTTCTGTTCATACTGCTATTTGAGGTGTGGTCCCAGATATTGCTGGCAAACTTTTAAATACGGAGCATTCCTTAGTGGCATGATGCCGCGCTGCGGCGTCGGCGGTGGCGCCGTCTACACTCTTACTGTGCATGATCACGTCTCGTGCTGGCCTAGGAAGACACCCACAAAACTGTCGCCTTCTTTGCCCTTTCTCGGCTCACAAGACCGGTGCAGGCAGCGTCTCCTAGTAAGAAACTGCTCATGTTGCACAAGCGTTCACTGGTCACTCCGTATATGTAGGCACTGGGTCGCCCGTTTGGGTTCAGTCAAGGGCGTCTCCACTTGGCTCTCGCTTGACATTGAAGGCAACGCTTATCTTTCATTCAATAAATAAGCGTAAGAATGACGAAATAACAATTAATTTACGCATTCCCAAACCATATCTAATTACGCAACATTCATGCGATACCCCCACCACTTCTGCGACACATTTACTTGAGTTCCCCCCATGGGAATAGGGGGGCAGCAGTTTTTTTAATAGTATTTCAATCCTTGCATGTATTGTGTATTGTATCCTGGTTTCTCTGGGCTGTACAGATAGTTGTAGTTGATGTCCGCTTTGTGTCCTTCCTGATTAAAAAAAACAAACAAATTCACGCTAAAGGCCAACTGGAGCTAAATTTCAGTCTGTGTAATAATCCTTGTTTTGGGATAATGTAATATATAATGAAGCTTGCACGCAAAATGTTATGTTTAAACTATAATGGGAAGAGTTCGAAACTCATGGCATACATATAATCATTTTTGATAATCAAAGTGAAAAAAGGCATCACCACTATCACTTGCCAAAAAGGATGCATGAGAAAAGTGTAACCTGGAACGCGGTACTCCTTGGCATGGTTTCCAAGATGAGGTGTCAAGGCCCATGTTTTAGCAACACTCATCTAGCTTCAGCGCTGTTTGAAAGCTACTAACAAGAACACTACCAATAGGAGCATTGCGGCTTTGACAAATTAGTTTCAGTGTTACACTACTAGTTACTTATAGATAAGTTTTAACAAGATGAACGGTGCCATTAGGAGCACATGCGGCCTTGACAAGTTTGTTTCAGTGATACAGTACTAGTTATTTAGATAACAGTTTTAGCTAGATGAACTTTCGTTGCAGTTGGCCGCCATTTTAATGGCGGGCATTGCAGCCACTTCACTGTAGGCGGTGCATAAGCCACCCAAATCTCCAACTATCGTGCACAAGCGCTGACTTTTTGGTGCGTCAGCGCCGTACGACGGAGCCAAGTTGCTAACAGAGCGAGAGTAAGCACATGCCCACGAGGCGTGCTCAGCTGGGTCCTTCTGTACTGCTTGGCTGTTTCTTCGTGAGAACATCGCCCTGCATTAACTCACATCAGACGATCTACATTTGTCAGCTTATCTCATGCGCAGGGGCATGCGACGTATCTGCGGATTTCATTTTCTCGGTTGCTTGCTCATCTTCAGAATATAAGCATTCGAACAAGATGCGTAGCCTGTTCGTCTAAAGTGAGTTAATGAAGGACGACTGTTCTCACGACAGAACAGCCAAGCAGACGACGGGTCCAGCTTAGCGTGCTTCGTGGGTATGCTCATACTCTCGCCCTTTTTGCAATTTGGCTCTGTCGTATGGTGCTGACGCACAAAAAAGTCTGCGATCGTGCACCGATTGTTAAAGATTTGGGTGGCCGTACATTCGTTTATTTCGTCTCACGTTTGTTGCATGATTGCTCTCCTTTTGCAGTGTGGCACAGCAACTGATTCTGATACAGGCTCGTTGAAACCTAAGACAGACCCTGTGAGTTGCATTAGGTGTCAAAAAGAGAATGCTAGGTCAGATTGCCCCGGTGCCTGTGCTCTGTGTTGGCACTCTTCACTTAGGTTACACCGGTACATCGAGCTTAATTACTTGAGTGACTACACTGCTTTCAGTCAGTGAGATGACTAATTTAGAGTGACAGTTAATCTGTGCCGTATTCTTTTAGCCGTAGTGCATATTTGTAGGCATCATAAGAATGCAGATTCATAATTGTTGTTTCTACAGTAAGAACAATTCATACCATGCCATTTTATTGCTCCATCGCATGTTTTACCTTGAGTGTAACGTCGTGGTATTACCTTGAATTTTTCTTTCGTGCTCCTGGAGATGCTAATTAGATGCACAAGAAGCCAGAAGGGCCATTGTACATTACATGCAGTGGAGGAATTTCTACTTGGTCTTTGATTTGATGTAGTGGCTGCTTGTTGTATGGTCAGTCAAGAGGCTCCAGATTTTTTTAACGTGATAGGGTTAAAGAGCTTGCTTTGAAGAAATTTTAGTGCCTGTGTCGGCGTCATGGTTGGGACCGAAAAATCATCATATGCGTGACCGGAAAATCGAGAATGATGTGAATCAAGTGATTAAATGATGAAAAACCCTGGAGTAAAGCGGGGACTGAACCACGGTTGTTAGGGTCCGAGCGGGGATCGAACCTGGGTCGTTTGCGTGGCAAGTAAATGTTCTACCAAACGGCCACACCTCTGCTTGTGAAACTAGTGAAAACAACTTTATCTGCTTAAAAATGCAGTAAAAGTAGCTTTCATGCTTCACAAACACACTCGTCTTGTATACATACTTTACGATGCAACATAAAATATTCCAGTAATATTGCTTGGTACAAGCGTCCATTGCCAACTGGCGTTAGAATATACGATTATCATAATGGCCTCTGCTTGAAAGCTGGTACCTCACTACAAAAGGCACACACACTACTACGCCTATTTCCTTAAGGCCACGTATAGTGAGTGCATAGCAAATTCGAAAAGGTTTCATGCACTAAGTGTTTGAAACACGCACTAGAAACAGGATGTCGCTGTCGCATTTAACTTTCAAAGATGAAGCTTTGGGGTTTCCCAATTTTTTACACCCCCCAGAGGAGCTCGGCAATTCGTAGAGTAAACCGCAATGATCAGGTTTTCTGAATATTACAGTGCTGTACCAAAGCCACCTAGAACAGGTTAGGGCCTGCGCACTCCCTCCGTTACGTCACGCACCTTGCCCGAGTGGGCCACGCCTCGCGAAAAAGTTTGTCTGCTAGCTGTGCAGGCTCTACTCACTTTCATGCACAAGATGTGTGTGGGGTTGCCTTC